TGTAATAATGTTTCAATGCAAAACCAAACTGTTAGAAAGTTTTCTAATATTCCCAGCTTGGTAAAGCCCATTGAGTCAATTTTAGCAAAGAAATAAATGTTGTTGCCTTGTCATATGTGCTTCATCCTGTGAATAATAATGGATCAATTAGGTCTCAGGTGTGTATAAAAAGAACCCCAGTACACTAGACCTTCACATTAACTGCAAATAGACCTCTCCAAACATGCCTAAGATTCACCCTAAGACTAAAGTGTTGATAATCAAGAGGCAGAAGAACTGGATCCACTGCTCATGTGGCAGACACCTTTAATGTGTGTCAGCGTCAAGTACAGTGGATAAAAAAATAATATGAAGAAACTGGAGGTGTTTTTTAAAAGCCTAGATCAGACAGACCCCACAAGACAACTGCTCCAAAGGACCATTTATTGGCTCAAAAATCCAAGGCCAGCCCCTTTTCCACTGCAGCAGAGCTCCACGAGACCTGGTCACCTGAAGTCCCTGTGTCAACTAGAACAGTTCGGATTCTGTCTTGAAATGGCCTCCATGGCCAAATCAGTGGCCAAAAGCCAGCACAAAACAAAAGACAAGTAAAAAACTGTGTGGCATTTGCCAAGGGCCACAACATGCTAAAAGGATAAATGCTGGAAAAGTGGCAGAAGGTTGATTTTTCAGATGACTCTTGAGTTGAATTACAGCACAGTCAATGCAAATATTTCAGGTGACCTACTGGAGCAGGCACAGATCCGAGATTCATCCAGAAAAGGTTTTGGTGGCGGAAAAATCATGATGTGGGGCTACATCCAGTATGGGGATGTGCGAGAGATCTGCAGGGTGGAAGGCAACATCAACAGTCTAAAATACCAAGTAATTTTAGCTACCTCTTATATTTCCAATCATAAAAGAGGCCAAATTCTGCAGCAAGATGGTTCTCTATCCTATACTTCCATCTCTACATCAAAGTTCCTCAAGAAGAAGATCAAGATGCTCTAGGATTGACCAGCCCAGTCACCACATATGAACATTATTGAGCATATGTGGAGTAGGATGAAAGAGGAAGCATGGAAGACAAAACAAAAGAATATTGATGAACTCTGGAAGGCAAGCACGAATGCTTTCTTTGCTATTCCTTATGGCTTCATCAATAAATTGTATGAATCCTTGCCAAACCACATGGATGCAGTCCGTCAAGCTCATGGAAGTCATACAAGATATTAGATTGGATCTCACAGCACCACTAGTTAATTTGCTGACATATTTTTGTTTTTGCAGTAAATTTGTTTCCTGAATACTGAATTTTCTGTCTTGATTGAATGATCAATCTTTTTTCAGTGAAACTAATTTATTTCAGTGCATTAAACATCATTTGGGAGGGTTGTAGCTTTTCATATAAGCTATTTCTAAAACCAATTGATTGATTAAAAGTCAGGTTAAGAGCAGGTGTTTTAACAAAATAGATATATAGTCAAATGAATCTCAGACTTCCACAATATAAGAACTATCTTAATTAATTAACTCCTCCAAATTAATAGCATCTATGCTAAAGCAATAGATGACATCTGCTGCCACATTCCCGTGGTGACCCTTAATAAAGAAGGGACTTATTCAAACGAATGTTAGTGAGAGTTATATCATTAAAAAAAAAAAACATGTTTTAATTTCCACTGTTATTCTGATGATACCCAATTCTATATCTCTTCACAAGAGTTGAAAAGCAGATTTGTTTGACTTAAATACTCCACACATACCTGGGTCCAAAATGAACTTAGCACAAAAATTAATCTAAACATATAAATGAAAAAACAACCAAAAATAGGTAGGAATTTTGAGCATTAATTCACATAATATGTGTCATTCCCTTACTGAAATGCAAATAAAAATGAATATTAACAACTAAGTTTGTTTTAGCAATATAATAACACCTATATTACATAACAAACAAAACGCCAGAAGCTTGTGTTCATGACAGCTGAAAAAAAAACAAGATGCAGAGGAATTTGATGTTTTGAAGACTTTTGCAACCTTGTGGCTCAAATATGTGTACGATTTATACAAGTGCATTTCAAAAACAGCCAACAGTAAATCAGCCAGAAGGCCATTGACACATGTCATGGAAGAGGCAGCACTGGATAACCTTGGCTGATTTACTGTCACACCAGAACACAATGCCCAAAGTGACACAGTACAACCTATATAGACTACACATTGAAAGCTGTATATCATCGACACACAACCAAACATACTGTAGGCACTCCAACAGACAGCATCCTATCATTCTTTTAGAGATCCTATTAGTAATAAGTAATTGCACTTGTCCACTAGTAATTCGGCTTTAGAAATATACATTTATTTTCATGCATCTGGTGAACTAATGCAAACTCACCTGATATGCCAAAGTCGAATATAGCTAGATTGAGTGTCATGATCTCTGGTGGCTTTAACTTTGTTTTTCGCTTGAAGGTCATGTACATGACATAGCCATTTCCAGTGGCTGACAAGATACCTGTAAAAATAGAAAAATTTAGATTTTAATACTTTAATAATTTAATACTGCATGTTTCCTCAAAAATCTGTACATGTACACAAAATCCAAAATATCTGAAGGAAAAATAATCAAAACATGAAAGCTGCAAGCAGCGATGAAAGGGACCTCGCACCCGTGCTCACCGCTGCCCAGTGGCCTCAGGATAACAGAGAACAATGGACAATAATAATTTAAGCTGATAAATAAAAAAAACTCCTGAGAAAATCAACATATTATGTCAAACTTCTTTCTGTCAGCAGGTGGCAAATGGCTATAACTTAATATTTGCATGTAGATCATACGTCATAAAGATGGCACTGAGCATGGCCGCCGAGTTGCGAGCTCCCAGTAAACTTAGTTGTTTCAAGAGTTCACACTTAGCTCATGATTTATATATAGCTTGTTTGGCATGCTGTCCCGGGAGAGAGCCCTGAGCTCAAGGGATCCTCGAGCCCAGGGCTCCCCCCCTTTTGCAGGGCGAGTAGAGATTGAGCTCAGGTCTATCTCAAACTCCCCCGCTGCTGAGGCCAAGGCTAACTTCCTGAGAGTAAGACATTATAAAAAAGGTTTAGGCTTATTTTATCTATAATATAGAGCACATTTGGATGGTGGGAGGCAACCGGGGAACCCGGGGGAAACCCACGCAGACACGGGTAGAACATGCAAACTCCACACAGAAATACCAGATGGCTCAGCGGGGACCCAACACCATTGGTATTCTTGCTGTGAGGCAACAGTGCTAGTCACTGGGCCACCGTGCCGCCAATTCTGAATAAAGGAGGAAGAAGGGGAGGAGGGGGGTTTCTTCCAGACGAAGATAGTTGTAGAAAGGAAATGAGGATATATATATTGATTTGGCATCCTTTGATTGGAGGATCATAATCAGCTAATGTGGACCAGCTGGGTCAATCATGAGCACATGCGCCTCTCGAAATTAGTTTAAAATTAAACTTCACTTTGTGTGTTTTACTCAAAGACCGGACTTTGAGTTCTTTAACGACGCTCTGTTTACAATAAAAGTGATTTGATATGTCTTTAGGAGAGGAATCTCATCGAACACGTGAATTTTCAGGAAGATCGGACATTTGGCTGAGTTTTGAGCTCTTCCTCCTCCATGGCGATACACTGAACTTTGACAGTCCGCCATGGAACAAAAACTCTAGATCTTCACAATTTAACATTATCCACAGAAACTGTTTACTGATTTGGTTGAAAATAAAATGAAATATTTACTGGATTTTGTTATTCAGTGTGATCTGTAATGAATTAAAATAAAAATGTTGTTAAATATTTTTTTTATTAATATTAATAATAATGATACAAAACTGTATAAATATTAAATAAAATAAAATATTAATATTACTGCAATTTTTTATTCAGTGTGATTTGTCAAATAAAATTGAATTTAAATAAATAAATAAATAGGCGACGCGGTGTCGCAGTAGGTAGTGCTGTCGCCTCACAGCAAGAAGGTTGCTGGTTTGAGCCTAGGCTGGGTCAGTTGACCTTTCTGTGTGGAGTTTGCATGTTCTCCCTGCGTTCAAATGTGGGGTTTTTCCGGGTGCTCCGGTTTCCCCCACACAAAGACATGCGGTACAGGTGAATTAGGTAGGCTAAATTGTCCATAGTGTATGAATGTGAATGAGTGTGTATAGATGTTTCCCAGAGATGGGTTGCGGCTGGCATCCGCTGCGTAAAACATGTGCTAAATAAGTTGGCGGTTCATTCCACTGTGGTGACCCCGGATTAATAAAGGGACTAAGCCAAAAAGAAAATAATTGAATGAATAGTGCATTTTTTAAATTCAGTGTAATCTTTAAAATTAAATAAAAAAAAAAAACAATTAAATAAATAAAAATTGTATTCAATGTGAACTGTAAAAAAAAAATTGTTTGCAAGTTCTCTCTGGCTCCCTTGGGTTTCCTCTGAGTGCTCCGATTCCCACCAGTAGTCCAAACATTGATGTCCAGTGAATTGGGTAAGCTAAATCGTCCGTAGTCAAATATTTCGCCAAACAGTCCTTAGGGATGCGGGGATACGCAGTCAGATATTTCGCCCAACAGATCCGCCACTTTTGGTGCTCATAAACAATCATTAAGCTCTCGTGCTGCAGGAATGAGGAGGTCTGCTGAAGGCGCGCAGCTGGCGTGCTGTGAGGAGTTTGCGTCTTTAATAAACTACGGCAGTTTGCGATCACTGAACAGTAAGAATGATTAATAAATCCATATGAAACAGCCCCTTAAAAGTCACGTATCGCTTTCAGTTTCGGGCTTTGGCGCGTTTTGCACTCACACACAAGCGTACCGCGCCAAAGCCCAAGTGTACCGCGCTCAGGCCCACCTCTTCCAACCGGGCCAGGGCCGGCCAAGTGAACCGTGCTTGAGCCCGATTCAGCGCACTCACACTTCTCAAACAATCCAGGAAACGGGCCTGGGCACGGTACGGATGGCATAGTGTGAGTAGGCCCTAAGTGTGAATGAGAGTGTATGGGTGTTTCCAAGTGATGGGTTGCAGCTGACAGGGCATCCACTGCGTAAAACATATGCTGAATAAGTTGGCGGTTCATTCAAAATGGCGAACCCCAGATTAATAAATGGACTAAGCCGAAAAGAAAATGAATGAATAGTAATACAAAGATTCAAGGACAAAACTTGGATTCGATTCGATAAAATTTCTTGGAGGAGTTTTTTACACTGTAAAACATGTCTATCCCTGTTGGCAGCAGGTGGCACTATAACTGTAACTTGATATTGGCATAAACATGTTCAGATAAGGACTGTTGTCAAATGTGTAAATTTTAACTAATTTATTATTATTATTTTTTTTTTGTAATTTAACTTATCCCCAAGGCCTTAAGATGACATTACCCAATTTTGGACAATGTCTGGAAATGAAAATGACAGAAGATGTTAAGAGAATTTGCTCCAACAGTCTTTTTTGTAGATATTGGCATGTAAGATGTGTGTGCCAATGTTCGTATGTGTGCGTGAAATGTAGTTCGGGGGCCAGTTCGTCAAATGTGAATAGGGGGCACTATCGAGCCATTTCGCCACACCCATTTCCATTAACAAATGTGCTTTTTGTGGATGTTCGAGCATGTTTAGACAAAAATGCAATTAATTCTAAAGAAGAAGAAGAAGTAGATGTTGGTATTTACTGAGATTAATTTGAAGCTGTTTTGAAATTCTTTATCCCTCATAATGCATTTACAATCAGTATAACGTTTAAATATTCAAGGTCAGTTGGAATTCAAAGAATCATATATATATATATATATATATATATATATATATATATATATATATATATATATATATATATATATATATATATATATATATATATATATATATATATATATATACTGCATATAAAATAAACTAAATAAAACATAAAAAATTTTTTAAAAGTTTTTTAACCATAACCTTCTGTAAATGGTTAGAAACTTCTCTTTATGAGAGTGAAAAGTTTTACACAGTTTTTTTATTGGTCATGTAATTTCTGTTTTTACCCCTTTTTTTGACTCATGAAACTTACCATAACAGTGTTATTTTTGGAGAATTAAATCATTTTCTATCTGTTAGTGACCACTCAGGTGTGTGTGTGTGTGTGTGTGTGTGTGTGTGTGTGTGTGTGTGTGTGTGTGTGTGTGTGTGTGTGTGTGTGTGTGTGTGTGTGTGTGTGTGTGTGTGTGTGTGTGTGTGTGTGTGTGTGTGTGTGTGTGTGTGTGTGTGTGTGTGTGTGTGTGTGTGTGTGTGTGTCTGTGAGTATACCTTGAATTACAATGACTTTATAATAAGACTTGGACTTTTTTAAAGAGTCAAAGGTTACTGGTTATTCTAAAAATAAAATCCTCATAATGAAAGAGAAGTGAGATAATTAGTCTTTCCTGGTCACCGCCACGAACACTCAAACAACACAAGGTTTCCATTCATGATATTTTTGTTTTGACCAAGATTGTAGTGTGCTGAAAAAGCATTATCAGTGAATTAGATTAAAGACAACATTTATGACCCATAATCCTCTTTACAATGAATCCATAATATCCACATTCTGAACATCATCTGTCTGAAGCTGAGAACACTGTGTGCACAATTTGACATCTTGGCCTGTTGTGTCAGCTGACTGATGTTTATTTCATGTGACTATTGAATGAACTCTTGTTGTCTGCTGTACTCATATGATTATGAATCGATGTGCATGGATCATGCACTTTAATATTACTAGCAGCTATACTGTGTTTATGGTTTGTGTGCTGGAAGAGTCCATACACTATTGAAAAAACTAATAAAAACTTCAGAAGTATCGCAACACCTTTTGGATAATCTTTTGATACAAAACAATGTGAATTCGGTCATTTAACCTTAACACTGCTTTTTGGGTTAAATTAAAACCAAATGAAAATGCCTGCAAAGAAAACAGCTTGACTGGAATGTCAAGGATGTTGGATTTCAAGACAAACTGTCCCCATTAAAAAGTCCTTCTTTGCATTGACTAAATATTATAGTTAAAAATGGATGACCAGAATAAATATTGTGCTGAACAAAAGATTTATTTATGCTAAGAATTATTCAATTACATTTTTTACAAAAGGCATGTCATTGACAAAACATCTGAATACTTTATTATAATGCTATGCATACAGGGCATTCTGTAGCAATCACTCTCTTTGAAAGATCATGCATTTTTTAAATTTTATTCTGATTTGGAGCGGCATGTAAAATAAAAATCAATTAAGACCTGTAATAAGAAATTGCCTCAAAAAAATGCATATAATATTTTAAGCAATTTTTAACAAATAGAAATTTAGGCTAGTTGCAAATTTAAGAAAATTACTAGCCATAATTCTTTTGCCAAAAAAAAAAAAAAAAAAACGTGTTTTTTTAATTTTTGGCAAATGTACATTTGTAATGTGTTTAAAAGTGCTTTAAAACTAATTAAACGTCTATATTCTTTAGAGTTACTGTCATACATGTGGC